CCCAGATAACTGCAAATTTCCGGTAGGCTACGTTCTAAGCGAAATGGACGTACACACAGGCTCGATCACATTCGGTCAGTTTGAATTGTATAGCTCGGAGCCTCGTTCGTTTCCTCTTCACTCTGGGTTCCCTTCGTTCACGCCTTTCCTCAGGGTCCTATCACGCGTACGTGAGTGCCTGCAAGGTCGTTTTATCCCTCGTTCCCTCTTTTTTGACGCATTGTCATGCCATACGCGCGACTATGCAAATTTCCTCGGCCAAACGAGCAAACAGGGAAACGTCTAATACGTCCTTCTGACGAGATAATATAACATCGAGAATTTACTTTTCAGTAGTTAGTTCGTTACGAGCTGGCACTTCCTAGTCGCGATGAGCAATTTATCGCAGTAGATTTCCAAATCCTCTATAATATTGTAATATCATTCATTAGGAACTTAAAACAAATTCTTTTAATAAAGAATCGTAATAACGTTAGACATGATTAGTTTTGTCAACCAAACTCAGGGAATATTCCAGTCCGGACATAGAAAGAAAATAACCAACTCGAAAAGTGGCGTTCAATTTCAAAGTAAAATTTGCTCGATATGCGATAAGAATCTAGAATAATTTTGAATAGACATACGCTGCACGCTACCTGCACTTTTCCAAACGAATACGAGACCTGAGAAACTTCGAAAATGTTAGTTGCCACGACATCTGAGGATACGAACAATTTTTTTTTTTTTTTTTAACGGAAGGGAGCTTCTTTGCAATCGTTAGCGCCCGTTTCTGCGAGAGTTATGCGAAGATCGTTACGGAGATTGGGAAAAAAAGAGAACGGACTCAGGATATGCGAGTTTACGAACGGGTATACGTGCGTGATACACACCGTAATTTCTAAATGCAAGAACATCCTGTGTTCACACCAGCAACGCAACCTACGCGCGTCAGTCTACTACCTGAACCTACGTAATCTGGGGACTGTAAATATATCAGCTGTTATCGTCGAACGTCGCCGAGAGCTATGTTCCGCGTGTACTGGTTACAACGGCTCCCGTGTTAATATCAAACAGCGAAAATTTATTTCGCGCATCAGCGTTAATTGATGAAAACCCCCTATCAAGGACTGCCGCGTATCGCCTGGGAAACGGTAGCAGTTCTGGCCCTACTGGAAATGCAAATTTCATCATCAATGCGTGTACTCTTTGATTAATTATAACATCATTAAATTTTAAGCACCTAGGACGCGGCTGAACGGATTTATGTCGCGTTTGTAATTCTCGAACAAGCCGATTAAATTGTTATTTAGTGCAATTAGTTCTGCTGGTGAATCTCAGGAACAGCTATTATTTTCAATCTATGATTACATTCCAACGATGCCAAGAGTAAATGTTACTAATAACGCGTGATTACTTCGAAGTAAGTGTTGCCATTTTTCATTTATAAACAGGTAGGAATGGATTGATTTTTTTGTTTAAATTACAGGTAAATGGGACATAAACGGAGGTCTAATTTAAGTTTGAGTAACACCTACGTTCCCACGATGCCAAGAGTGAGTAAATATGACAAACATTATTCTCATAGATTCGACTTGGAGCAAGTGTTACCATTTTCCCTTCACTATAGCTACAAATTTGTTAAATCGTCTCCTTTTGCATTACAAGTAAATAATACATAAACACAGAAGATTTAATTTAAGTTTGAGAAATACCTAGATGCTCACAATGCCAAGAATGATTGAAAATGACAAATTAGGTCCCCTTGAATATTTCTAGTGCCCTTTTACCATTTTCTTTTAAACAGAGCTATGATTCTGTCGTTTCTGGTTTCTCGTTGCATACTGTTACAAACATATAGTATGGAGCAAGAGATCCAATTTAATTTTGGCCAACACCTTCGATACCTTTAATTAACAGAAGACATATAATTTGGCTATTAGGTCTAACAATAAATTTGACTTGCAGCAACTGTTTGCCATTTTCGCCACACTCCGGACGCGCGAATTGGCAAGCTCGATCTTCGCTCCGTAATTTGAGGAAAGAAGGTCAGAGAACCATCGATACCTAACCACAGCGACATATCAGCTCGACGAAAGAGCTGACCACGAGATTGTGGTAAATCGAAGGGTGAACTAAAACCAGACAATGGAGCCAGGATATTTATGCACTTGCAGGTACAATGTTCCGGAAGGGAGCTGCAAAAAGTAACACGACAGAATTCAATAAGAAGAAATTGTAAACTATAAGAATTGTGAACTATAAGAAGACTATAAAGAACTATAAAGAACGTCAAACACAATAGAATGAACTCTTCAACTTTTCTTTTATAACTATTCCTTTAAAAAAAGGAATCGAAGGCGTTCAAGGTATTAACGTTCCAACAATTTCATTCTGGTCCTCTTCAGAAATAATGCACAAAATGTATTTAAAAAACCAATGCGAAACGGCATAAAAGATAATGTATAAAAACGTGAATTTATGTATAGAAATATGTGCGGTAGAAAATTGATTAAAATTTCGGAGGTTAATTTAATTTTCATGAATTGAAGAGAGCCTAAAAAACAGGACAGATAATAAATATGTTAAACTCTGCTTGGATGAATTTTTTGCGAAAAAAAGTGTCCAAGATATTTCCCATTCATTTCCGCGTAAATATTTGAATACCTATGAAACGAAACACTACTATGGTAGATGCTTTGTTCGTAATTAGAATTCCTTTGACCCTAGCGCAACACGTAACCGTGTATAAATGGCAGAAATTCCTCTGAATCGAGTTGCACACGTCTAAATACAGGGTTAAGTTCCAATCTAGCACGCAACCGGAAGCGCCAGCGCTTCACCAAACAATGCTTTCGAAAAAAGGAACACAACAATAGAAAACAATAACGGCAGACGGTGCGTGCAATATACGCTCACGCAAAGGAAGCTTTGGTCAGTATTACTCTGCTGCTATTCCCATTGTGCCAATTTTCCTCGAAATGTTTTAGATTATTTCTACAAACTCTCCGTTCGTCTACCGAGGATCCCTTCCCTCGCATGATCTCCAATTTTCATTTCCTGCCACACTTCGCATCAGAATCAGATTTTTTGTTCACGAGCTTGATAAATACGATAAATGAATTTCGTTATCGATGAACTGAAAATTCTTTTCAATCCTTTTTGCGATAACGTAGAATTTGCGAATCTATCCTCTCCGAGTAGATCGAAGGCAATGTATTAAATTAATCCGATAAGGTAGTTAGATTGAAACGAAACTATAAATGGCACTTTACAGAAATGATAAATAATTGCAGACGCCAGATAGTTTCAATCAAGTGATATCAATCAATTTTCTAAACAATCTTCAAAAATAGGAATGATACTAATCTAATCTATCGATTAAAAGTATCTTTCTCTTACGTAAGAACAAATGTATCAATTTTTTAAGTGGAACTTTTTATTGCTTTCATCGAAATCCAGTTACTTTTCGTATTATGGTCCGCTATTTTGGATTTCTAAATTCCGAGTTCAGATTTAAAATCAACGACCCCGAAAACCTCTGTATACCAAGTTTCACCCAAATCGTTCTAAAGGAAAAATAGATACATTTGTATCTTTTCTAAAGCACATTAAGGAATTTTCCTTTCAGGAAATACTACAATGTTTACTACTACTTCTTGGAATTTCGTAGTACGCATTTCCAAGAATTTATGTAGGTTACAGGATTCACTCATTCATTCATTTATAATTGTCTATTAAATAGGAAACTTTGTACTGGCGTAGCTCAGCGTGGAGTCGTCGGATTCAGTTCGACCAACACTCAAATTGAAGGGCGGAATTTCTACTATCGAATAGATAGTTGTTATCACTGTTAGATACTCTTAAACAATTGTTTTATTTATTGCTATACTGACCAGATGATTCTGATTGTAGTTGACATCGTGGTAGTTAATTTGTGATTCTAGGCAATATTAGTATCAAGGGCACTATAGGATCCTAATAAAGAAGACGTTTAAACTAAATACATAAATTGCACAATAATAATGCAAAGTTTAACAAAATCCAAGCAAACGAAGCAAAGAGGTACATGCTTTCCAAGTATTGCTTTTCATGATAAGTTCCTATGATTGCTATCGTCATTGCATATCATCATGCACAAATTATTGTACATTAAAACTAGTGGATTTACATTTCAGATAAATAAACAATAATGGCTTATAACGATAACGTATTTAATGCATTGGTAAATGTAAATGACTAAATGTAAAGAAGTGTAGATAAAAAATAAAATAAAAATAATCGACCATCGACGAATCTGATCGTGTGTGTGGGATAGAATGACGATGACGTACCGTTATAGACAGAAATTATCATTCCTTCTACCTATAAATATTATCAAGGTGATGGTACAAACTGGTTTTAGGTATTCGGCGGGGGACACAAAACATAGCCGTGGTCCAGCACAGCTGCACGATTAACCGGTTTCTCTGATTACAAGCGACTCGACGTACAGTCAATGACTGTAGCGTAAATACACAATAAAAGCAGAGCTTTTTTTTAAACGATGGTTCGTATACACATTTAATTTAAACTAATTTAAACTTTGTGCACCATTGTTTAATACCTTGTTTTACATATTTTACCAGACCCTACCTATAATGGACCATTTTATTTCAATTCTGATCTTTTATTTTAATATAAATATTTCTCTTGAACCAACCTTTTGTCGAAATACATATCCAAATATTTTATTATTTTTTTTTTAAGGGGTTCACTGATAACGTTAAATATAATGCAAAAATGCTAAATAAAATTTAACTCTGAAGCCACTCATCTCTTGGAGGGGGGAATAAAGAGTTACATGAAATGTCTCATTCAATCTGCACCTCTTTTATGATAATGCAATTGAATAAAAAATCGAAATACGTCAAAATTACGTTTTACAACTCTGGCGCACCGTGAGAGGCGCCACCTACTTACGACGTGGTTTTTAAATAGAATGGAATGGAGTATGAATGCGTCATTGATGATACCATAAATGCATGCGTGTAGGAGAGAACGTAGGGTATTTCATTGTAGTGAAACGTGATCAGCTGTCGGTCACAATTCTACGACATTCTAACTGACTTTTTGTCACTTAGAGCCACTCAGTGCAACGATTAATTAATGTACATACTGCGAATCACTATTTTATCTTAGAATTAAACTATTTAAGCAACTCTTTACACCATGGTAAGCAAAAAACTGATTTTTCTGAATAGAGGTTATGTCAGAATGAATATCTGTAGCTCCCAATAAGGAATGCCAAATATTGCCAATATGTATTATAATCTCAGATGAGTTCACAGCTATCTGAATAATTTTTAAATAATACTGTGATGGGTTTTCTGTATAATTTTTTACAATATTCTACAAATTAGCAACCTTTGTTTTCTTAATACAGCAAGATCCAAATGAAGATACACAATGGAATGATATCCTTAGGAGTAAAGGAATTATACCTGAGAAAGAAAAGGAAGTTACAGAAGATGAAATACTGAACATTGCGGAGAATACTGTAAATGAGAAAACTGGGCGTGGTATGTAAACATTTATTTTAATCAGTCCAAGAAAGTGACTCACTTTTATCTATTAACATTTTGACTCAACTGATTTTTGGGTTTCATTACATAGCACCAACTGATTTGGAAAACAAGACATTAGATGAATTAGATGAACTAGAGGACGAAGAAGATGAGAAGGTTCTCTTGGAGTACCGACATAAGAGAATAGCCGAATTAAAGGAATTAGCTAATAAATCTAAATATGGTGAAGTAAAAGAGATATCAGGAAAAGACTATGTTCAGGAAGTAAATAATGCAGGAGAAGATATTTGGGTTGTTCTTCATTTGTATAAACATGGGTATAATACTGCTTCATTTGATAAGAACAGAATATAACAAAAGAACTTTTTTTTTTATTGTTCCTATTGCTTTCAGTGTACCTCTCTGCACACTTATTAATCAACATTTAGCTTCCTTGGCAAGAAAGTTTCCTACAACAAAGTTCTTAAAAAGCATTTCTGTTACTTGTATTCCCAATTGGCCAGACAGTAATCTTCCTACGATTTTTATCTATCATAATGGAAATATGGTGCAACAAATTATTGGACCCATAGAATTAAGAGGCATGAAATTAACTGAACCAGGTATGCATAATCTATAGTCATTAATCTCTTAATTTTTTGTTTACATCATAAACTGTTTTATTGTCACAGAATTGGAATGGATGTTAGGACAAGAAGGAGCCGTACCAACTAAACTCACAGAAGATCCACGAACAAAAGTTAAAGATGTATTATTCTCTGCGTTAAGGCCTGGCAGTGACAACCAAAATGACAATGATGATTGGTAATTGTATATTTCCTAGAAACTATATACACTAAACGAGCATACGAATATTACAAAGCACAAAGCATTTTATTTATTTTATCACTGTTGTCACATATTATCATTTGTTCAAAGTTTTATTATTACACATAACAATTATGCTACCAAAATAAAGTATTTTATCATCATACTACCAGTTTTTAACTTATGATTTGTACCACATCTTTGATACCTCCATTACAGTATACTCTGATAAAATAATAATTATTACTGCAATGGATACGCGCTTGTATTGATTTTATTCAAGCAACACAAACAGATAACCTAATTTGCATGAAAACAACGTTTAATTTTCATTGACAGTATATACTATCATTTTTAAATTTGATTTCGTTGATTCATTTCACACAAGCGCACGAAAGCATTTACTCTGGGAAGACTTGTTTCGATTACACGCGTCGAGAGCTTACAGTAAAAAGTAAAAATGCAATTTGACGTACGGAAACATAAATGATCTATGCCATTAATCTATAACGTAAATCAACAACACTATCACTTTATTTTTTCAACTAAATTATGTGCTCACTTTCATCTTCATCTTCCGATATCTTTGATGTTCAACTACCGCCAAGAAAAATCGATAGATCAAACAATCGATCTAAAATCTCGTCGAAGTCAGACGTGAATGTAGTCATCGATGCAATGGAGTGTGTATACAATGTATACTTTTAATCGTGGAACCGGTTTATTACTTCTTAGTTATGTTAGTAATGTTTACATTTATTAACGTTGAAGGACTTCTGAGATTTCATTCGAAACATAACCCACGATCCCTTTGTTTTCGTCTCGTTTAAACAGTATATTTTCTATTGTCGAATGCGAGGATATGTATGTGCGTGATGGATGAAAGTTCACTTAAAAAGCTGGGTGGTAGTCTTGAAATAATAAATAATAGTACTAATTACACGTTAGTTATGTCACTTGAATTGTGTTACTGTAAAAGTCGATGTAAAAGTGTTAAAATGTGAGAGGATTTGTACCTGGGATTTTAAGTCCAAGCGTCCACTGAATCTTGGTCAACAAGGCTAGGTAATGATTCATTTGTTTATTATAAATTTTATATTATTATAATTTCAATCATAATTTCTTTTCCTCTCTAATGAGCTATTAAGACATCTTCTTAGTTGCATTTTGTAATAAAAAGTTAAAAAGAATGATGTTGTTAAAAACCTTATTATCTGTTTTTATATTATATTTTGTAGTTTATAAATAGATGAATCATAGTATAATAATAGGAATGTTCTTTTTGCCCTTCTCAGTGTTTTATTATTCATGTAATGTTGCTTTTTACCTTCTTTTATAGTTACATTTTCTTAATTGTTTGTTTTTACGTCATATTTTGTAGCTCTAATGAACGGTATAAATTTAATTAAAATGCATAAATAGATGAAATTTATGAAAAAGTAATTGGATCATGCAGGAAGAAAGGGATAAAAATGTTGAAGAAATCAAACAGATTTCTCAGCTCTGAATGTAATGAAAATGTTTAGAATATTGACTATGAAAATTGGAAGAATACTTATCCAGGAACAGGTTTACTCTCTGTAGAAGAAGATAGAAGGCAGGATTAATTTTACGGAGTTAACATAATTCAGAAAGAAAGCATAAAAAGATGAATAACTCTGAAATTGTTAAGGCATCAACTCGTACAGTTCCTAACATATTAAAAAACAATTTGAAATGGCACAGAACTCTTGTGAAAGTACCAATAGAAACACATACAGCTCTTAACACAAAACAAGGTGCACAGGTTTCATTAGATAATCTTAGAAAAAAAATGGTTAAAACGGAAGTTAAATGTAGATCATCTACCAAAAGAAAACAAAAATACAGTTTCAAGGATATATGGTATGAATTGCCCAATTGGGATATTCACTCGTTTCTTGATAATAAAAAGAAAAGTTTAAACAAAAATTTATTTCCATCAGCAAAATTAAAAGCCTCTACACAAAAGCAAATGTTAAAACATCTTACTAAAAGACGTCATAAAAAACATGATGTATCTGTTTGTAACACTGAACAGAAAAAAGATTTGACATCCTCAATATCACATGACTTGTCCAAAAAAATCATTCCTGAGTTTCGCATATTCCCTGCCTCCCAGAAGAATGATCTCAACGATCTACAGATTCCAATTGACTTCTCAAGCAATGAAATATTTAGTGAGTTCAACTATGAATCATATGGACTTAGCAATTTAAATTACCTCACAGATTACACAATAAGTTTAGATGAAACACATAATTCATTGAGTACAACCCATGATAGTGACATTTCTGAAAAGAAATATGACATAAATGGTAACGAGCTTGATATATATGAGACATATTTGATACAAGACAAACAGAGTAACGAAGAAGTTTCACCAGATCAATCTTTAACATCTTCAGAATATTGGTGCAAAGAAGTACCAATTTTCAGTAATAAAAAGTTCAATTTTTCATCAGAGCTTTGTTGCAGTCACTGTCTAGATGACTGTGTTTCAAACTGGGTAACAACCAGTGAAGCAAACAACAATATTCGTATGAAAAATAAAGTATTATCAGGAATTTCTGAGAAACAGTCAATTATTTCAAATAATAGCATAGCTGATCAAGAGAACTTCAATTGTTCAAATTCACATACTACAGAGACCTATGCATATTCCACTGATGATAGTTTAGATGGAGAATGCAGTGAACAATATTCGTGTTCTCTAATGAGTGAAACTCAAACTTGTTTCAAAAGTCCATTAGAAAATATCGTAATAACAGACTTGTATGGTGAGACAGACATACAAGAGAATATATCTACTGAAACATCAAACACAGTCGAACAAGAGGAATGTAACGAACTCAGTAACGATAACAATGTATTTTCCTCAGAGTTCGATTGTGACTCACGGTTCCGTAATTCCGCAGAGCAAGGGACAAATAATAATTATACGAATATATTGCTAACAGAGGAGAATATAAGTTATAATAAAGATAAAAATGGGTGAGTGCAGTTACGACCACGTAATACGAAAATTATATTCCTCGAGAAATATTCTTTGTTTTAGATTTGTATAAGATCATTGGACGTAAAGCATTTATTCGTGTTGCTCGATATACGTTTTATTATATACGATCATTCATAATGCAAGGCACGTTATATAATTAAACTACGTTAGGTGTGGTCCTAACAAGCCATTCATTATTTGTAACTATTAATAACAGTTATCACACATTGATAATTTTAACGATAACGTAAACAGTTAGTCGACAATGTTAAACAGTAACAAATGGCTTTTGAGACTACATCCAGTGTTATTAAGCTTGCTACAATCTTCGTTCTTAATAATTTTGCGTGACATAGCTTTCTGTTTATTTCCAACAAAATTTCTGCTTCGTAAAGCACGAACCTCGTTTACAGATATCAATGTTTATTATGTCCCATATCATTTTCAACCGCTCGCGCAATGGCGATGCATCAAGCTGGGGCACACGGAGGTAACGTTAGATTTTATTTACAACGGGTCGTAGTATTTGTTACCGAATTTCTTTTCAGGTACTTACATAATACGTTGCGAAAGCTGCGGTAGGCTTTTCAATCAGAAATATCATTTCAACAGGCATTTCATTCATTGCGGTCGCTTGAAAGAGCCATACAAGTGCGACATGTGTATAAAAATATATAGGTAACAGATAAATCAACAGTAGGAATGTTCTATTCTGAATCGAGATTCTAGAAAATCGAACCCTCGATTTTTCAAATCGATTCTTGTTTCTTTCATTCGGCCAAAAATTGTTTTAATAAGAATACGTTCTCGTTTCGTTTTGTCGTCCCTGACGGATTTCGTTCTTTTTAAATATCACGTGAGTTTCGTTCTCCTTTTTGTGATAAAAGAAAGCATTATCGATGAATTAGAGCATTAGTTAGAATTCTCAGTCTCTGTATTTTCTTAATTAAAGGCAATTTTATAGTTGACGATTATCTTAACTCTGTCGAGCTTGAAACTCGTTATCGCTGAATAAGTACTCAGTAATTAATTCGCCATTTAATTTCGAATTGATTTTCAAAGTACAGTTAGAGCGACTAGAAAACCATTTCTCGATTCGATTTTGTAGGATTCGATTTCATTGCCAAAATTGAACATGCCTAAGAGGCAATCATACCGAAGTATTTACAGTTCTAGGTTGCAAACTGTATTCACTGACGCAGTTTATTTTTAGGCACAAATCATCCTTAACTCATCATTTAAAAACAGCTCACCATGTTCATTATAGTCATAATCGTTCGGCAACATTTATCTGCACCGTATGTAAAAAGATATATTGTAAATTTGGTGCCTTCGAGAATCATGTAAAACAACATAAGACTATGTGGTAAGTGGAATTACGACGACATGCATCTGATGCTAATGTATTTTTTAATTCATTTTCTTGCGATAATAAAATTAAAGTTGTATGAACTGTTTCCTCGATTTTAGATGTACGACGCAGGATACAGGTGCTATATAAAATATATAAACAGATATACAGATTATACGAATGTTTAATTCATATATCGACGTTTATTTAGGATGTTGCTTATTTGGATATTTTATTTCGAGACAGTCATATTAGTATTATAATTGTGATAGATTTTGGTAGCGTTTATTTTTTATGATTTTCAGAGAGGAATGCATTTATGCATTCGGCGACCTAATCATTTATAAAACTTGACCATCGTTTTGTGTACTTAGTAGTTTAGATTTAGGTAGCGTTTACCTCGACGATTCCTAATTTTTATATCTTTATAATTTGTTTTGTTATCAGGGTAGGAAATGTTCCTAAATACTTTTTTTATTCAATCCGACAAAGAAACGTTATTGCCAATTTTAGTTTTCGTTATACGTAATTAATACGTAAGTAGTGTTCGTTTGTGCGATATTTCAAAGTAATTTTATCGAACATTGACACTTAGAATGCTCAGAGTTTAACGTTTTATTTTTCAATATTTGGACTTACTAGTTATACGATGTTAAGATAAGTAGAACGTAAGTGTCGCTGTTACCAAATCAAAGAAAAGGTTTTTTTT